AACGTCAACATAGCCCTCCGAAATTGTAGTGGTTGCCTATCCGGTTATCATGTAAAACAGTTGCCTATATAAATTCTTATTTCTACTCAAATATCCCTCCTTTATTCAAAATAGTACTGCCCTTTCATAGCTAAGGATTGGAAATTTAAAACAATAAATTGTTATTAAAAATAATAATAGATTATAAATTAATTATAATTAAGATTATAAACAGTTTATACTGTACCATATAGTATGCCGTTATTAGCATATCATTTGAGCTTTACCGAAAACCAATTTTATAAAATTCGACCTTTGAGGGGTAAAAGGGTTTTTTTATATAGCTATATAATACACGGGAAACGCCGTGACGGGACAGCTGGTATATTTATATAGCGATTTTTATATACTATATTTAGCACTTACTATATATTATATAATTTATATATATATTTATGCAATATTAAATATATACATAATTGTATGGTCGCAATTCGTACGTACCTTTCATAGGCCGGGTCAGCGTCTCATACTTTATTTAGGGATTAGGCAGCGACTCACCAATACCGAATTTAAAAGCATAGCGATTTTTTTTTAAATTTTTTTTAAATAATTCAAAAGTATATAGATATTAATTAAACATTTATTTGAATTTCAGGCTTATATGAAGATGAAATTAATAGATTCTCAAGTACAATCGAAAATAAATAATTTCTTTACTTTATTTTAAATGTATTTATTTTATTAGTACAGATAGTTCTTTACTTTATTTTGAATGCATTCATTTTATTTTTATCTTATTTTAATATAAGTATAAGTATCGAATTATGTATTATAAAAAATTTTTTACGGAATCAACCAGTTAATAGAATCAAGATGATCTGAACCACATTGGTTAGGATCACATTGATCACATTAAGTGGAATTCACTGTATAATATACATATATTTAAAAATGTAGACAGGTTACATGATATAAACGTATTTTCGAAATGTTTAAAACAACTATGTTGATGGGTTTTGGGTATCCGCAATAACTGCACTCCTTGTGCGGTCCCCTGCAGTCCTCGTGTGGTCATCTGCACAGTATTATACCGTAGGTAGTCTCGTTCGACCCTTTTTTGACAGTCACAAATTGTATTTATTTTGTCTCCCTATATTTAAGAAATCGACATATTGTAATCATCTGTGTGGCGTCGTGCTTAAAAAGGTTTTTTGAAAACGATTTATAAATAGTTTTATACAGTACCTACGTTCTGAAACATAATAATAATGTAGGTTGAAGTCTGCATTCAAATGTTCACTGTCGTGCCTTGGCATAGCCCTTTTTTTCAAGAGAAGCGGCTTAATGGTCTCGCATATAGACCCGATTTTCAGTGACTATATCTATTCTCGATTTATACATACCTGTTGGCTTTTGTGTAGTTATAATTCGATACGCAGTTTATTACAATACAATTTACTTTCTACGTGTGCAGTAGGTTATTATTACCATTCCGAATAAACGACAAAAGTGCGGATTAGAGAATTACAAAAAAAAAACCAAACACAAAATGAACCCTTTAAGATTTTACCGAATAATATAAACCCGCTGGCATACATCATTTTCTACGGATTATAGAGGTCCTGTGTGTTATTATGTTCGTACATAATATAAACCTTGTTGAAGACGAGGGTTTGAGAAATACAATGTATTATCGATATGCGCGCGGGATCACAGCATGCAGGGACTATTGTCACTAACCGAGTATATTATAAGCCACGGAGGGGGGGGACAAAACCTACTGTTATTATAACATACTTTTTGATAATAATATGAATTTTGCGGGTCAGCATCGTGTGTGTGCGACGCCATATAGGTACTTGTACATATATATTTTTTTTCACTTACCCTAAAGTAAAATAAATATCTTAGCATGCTTATATTGTATATATTTTATTATAATGTAGAACTATATTTCAGTTATTCTTAATTTTGATTCAACTAAATTCTTTTTTTTCGTTTTAATATAAGATATAAGACATTATTATTGCCATTTTTACTATTGGGGCTATCTGCCTGTACTTTCAATAATAATTAAATAAATAATAAACCTCCAATAATAGAGGCTACTACACCCACGCGGATTGTCATTTTCCTCCGTCTTTCAGAAGCATATAGGTATAACATAAAATATGGCAAATTGTACGTTCTGAATAATCTATTTAACTACGTTTTACATCAGAGTGAATTTACCTATTATCAGATTTATATGTACGAAATACGAATACGGAATAGTACCTTTCAAGTGAATTTCATAGGTTTTTATTTTAATTTTAATTTTAAAGGCAGTTATGAGCGTTTCAAAATGTACAAAGAATTTACAATTTAAATAACAATTTCATAACAAGTTTAAAAATAAAATTTTTAAAAAAACCTAGATAATCTACTCACTTTTAAATTGTATAATAAGTTAATTCGCTCTAATATTAAATACATATAACATAGTTAAATTTTAAGAGGATATTATACATGCATTTTTAGTCATTGTCTTACAAGTGCGTAATACATACCAAATGCACTCTTAGCAGTTCACGTTTAGCTACGTTATTTAAAAAAATTAGAATGAATTGACCTTTTATGAAACTTTATAGTGAGAATATTATGTGTTTGTACGTCCGAATTTTTATACTATAATTCAGATTTTAAGTGAGTTATGAGCATTTTTAATTTTCACTATATCATACACCCAAAACTTGCTAAAACATTTAACTATTACTTTAATAAGCGACATACGAACACAGATAATGTTCTTACCATCATAGGTGGAGATCGGGGGGGGGGGGCTTACGGGGGCTTAGTCCCCCCAAAATAAATGATTTGAAGTTAAAGACCCCCTAAGAGTATTAAACAAACAATACCGTAATTTTGTATAGTTCGTAGAACTTTTTTCATTATTTTATATTCTTATATCCACAATTATATAAGTGTACCTAGTACATTACATACACGATATACACTATATACCAATTTATTATTTACGGTAACATACCGAACAATTAAGTCACAATTCACAATAATATTATATTGTGTTTATATACCTTATATTGTACATATTTTGTACCAATTAGCCATCTATATTGAATAACATATTATACCATTCTATTTTAGATGGGAAAAATATTATTTCTTTTCCTAATTTTTGTTAATTCTAGAGAAGCGATAGCTATTATAGGACTATCGCTATAGCTGTATTAAACCTATCGTAAAGTTTATCGCGATTGAATGAATCGTTAAGGGGCCTCGCTATACCATATATTTAAGGAGCAACATTTAGGCAATTTCCAATCTTTTCGTCGCCGCCCGGGATCTATGTGTTAGTCGTAAGTGAATATTAGTGTGCGTGTGGTTCAATGCGGGTACCGCTTCCTTCCGCACCATCAATGCACGCACTCGCACTCACATGTCAATACGTATATTATCATCACGAAAAATTGTTTTTTTTTCACTCTAACATACGATTCTAATTCTAACAATGCGTCTTAATGGTTACCTCGATTTGCATTCTGACAGAATATTCTTTTTTTTCACAACATGTACAAGGGATCCATCGAGGCACATTTTTAAAATTGGACTTGGTTAGTTAAATATTTAAGCTTGAAGATTTGCAGTTTTTTATTTTTTACAATATTTATTGCAATTAAAATTAAAAAACATAAAAATATAGTTAGGTCATTCCCTCGTACATATTGTAGAGAATCCAAAAATTTTTACAGAATAAAAATTGTGATAATTGTCGACACGTATCGTTGGAATTAGAAACAGTAGTTTTTGACAAAAAAACATGTGGTGACGAGGCCCCTTGACCATTTTATACTAAACTATATTTTACTTATTGTTTGATGTTCTTGGAAGTACAATTCTTTTGAGATTGTGATTTAGATTTTTAATAAATAATTTATTTCAAATATGTTTGAAATATTTAAATTTAAATCGTTTATTAATCATTCTTTTTTATGTTTGTTACTATTTAAGTTGTTATGATAACGAGTGAACGAGAATAATTTTTTATGAGTGATCTAATGTAAAAATTAGTTTGTTGGGGGTGTGGGGGCAATGCCCCCACGGGTCTGTTTGTCATCAAATATTTGAGCCCCCCTTAAATTTCACAAGATATGCTTACCATTCAGTTTCATAAAAGGTCTATTCATTCTAATTTTTAAGCTCATTAGACGTGATCTACTGACCATCAATTTGCTATGTTACGCATTTGCAAAACGGTTACAACAAATGTACCCTGCTAAGCACCAAACGAAAAAAAGAGTTATAATTAAAAAATTTAAAACGGGTTTTCTGTCATATTTTATTTGTACGAGAAACATCAATAAACACAAGTTAAAAAAATCTAATATTCTTATATATTTAGTGAATAATTAATTTAAATAAATAATTATTGTAAGTATATTTTATTATTTTAAACATAATTAAACTATTTAAACTTATAAAATGCTATCTACAGTATATTTCACATTAAGAAACAAAATTAGTACTGTAAAAAATCAAATATTACTGAATCACTTAAAAATATGGTTTTATGTAACAAATAACTAACTGATGCCGGCTTCGGTATTATAATAATTAAACCAAATTATAGATTATATTATAAATTTATGAAATTTTATAGTACGTTTTGGGAATAGTTAATAGGTAATTATTATTTTCATTGATTAGCATTGTGAATTGTTTTTTGATCATGATTTGCAATTTAAGGATATCTCTACATTTAAGTTCAAAATTTAAAATACTAAAATAGAAAGATATGTGTATTTTCGACTAGATGTCCGATTATGAGGTAAGTGGTAATATTTAGATAAATTATAAGCTAAGATAACTGTATTACCATGGATACAAACATCGTAATTTAATCTTGAATAACAGTATAACACGTATACTAATTAAACACATTAACTTAAATTGTATATTATTTTCAAAATTTACACAAATTATTAATTAACACAACCTGAAAGGCGAAATAACAAGTAATGAATGCTAAAAAAAACAGCACTAAACGAAAAACGCTGCTCCCTCGGAATGATAATAAACCGTTACTAAATCAAAAAGTTAAAACTAAATCGTCTACACTTAGAACGCCTAATCAAAACGCTAATGTCGCAATTCTTGAAAACACGTGTAATCATATTTCAAATATTGACCTTGACAATGAGGTAAAACAATGTTCAACCACAAACAATAATAAGGCAAATGAAAAACAAGATGGTTCTAATCCAATTTTGGAATTAAAAGAAGAATCTCAAAACCCGGAACTTCCAAAAATGAGCAGCTTTAACACCAGATATCAGCTAAATTCTAAAAACTATGTTCAAGAACTTCATAAAGCATTGATAAAAGAGTGTAACTATAATTTATTAGATTATACCTCTTTAAACGCATCATTAGACTTTGAGACATTGACCAGTGTCACTAGTCGGACGTTGAATGCTATAAAGGTACAATAGAAACTAAAATAGATAAAAGGATTAAACATTTTAATAAAAATAGGTACATAATACGAATAATATTATAATATATTGAATACATGACTGTAATATTATTGAAATGCCGATGTGTATTCATAATATTATCAATTTACATAGTACCTATATATTTAGCGTTATTCGTTATGATCGTTTATTGATTATTTGCAGGATCAAAAAATATTTTCGGTATTAGGATATTTTCCAACAATTTCTCTAGAACTGAACAACCGTGGTTGGGTGGAAAAACGAGATCCGTACAGACCACCAACAAATTATTCTCATTATTTAAAATCACCACGTAAATATTTTAACAATACCCACGTATATGCAGAGCAATTTAATACCTTATGCTACAAATATATAAGTGTATAATTTAAATTTCAAGCATATATGGTCAATTGGATCGAATCGCCTCCACTGATATCGCCCATTAATGAAAATGAAGCTATCATAGAGCGCCTGAGAAGCGCTCAATCTTGGAGTATTCTTAAAGATAAAAAATCGGATTATATTTTCGTCACAAGAAAACGGTTGATTAACTGGTCCAATTTAAGTGAATTGACATCAGTCAGTCAGATGACGAGACACGTGTTTTGTACTAAAGTACCTATAACTACCTATATACTACCTATTTTCAACTAGTTATTAATTATGAAATTTGCCTTGATTATTGAGAAATCATTTTATGTTGACTTTGGTTCATGTAAAATAATAAGTTTTATATTTTTAAAAAATAATAGAATTCAGCTGAACACTGTCTACATTATTCATTTTTGATCACAGCTATTCGTATAAATGAAATAAACTTATAAACGAAACTAAAGAAGTAAAGAACAAACAATTCATATAAATACATTATTTACATAATATTCGATGTGAAAAAGTGGTTTCATTTTTTGAGGGTCTAAATTTCGTTAGGTGTTTCAAATTATTAATATACATTTTTAATGGGATCTACAAAAGGCAAACTTTGTTTATAGTGAATTAAATGCAATTTTTAAAAAGTGCTTAATTTTATTTATCGTTTTTCGTAAGTAGTTACAATTAAGAAAATTATGTAAATGAGATTTAGTTAATGTAAAAATAAAGTTTTCAACTGCCACAACATATTAATATATTTTATTTCAAATGCTTATATAAATTTATTTTAAAACACTAATGAAACTAATGTATATGAGTATATTATGTATCTCCATAACAGATATGTATTGCCATTTATCAAGCTGATTAATTAAACATTAGGTTAAAATATATATTTTTAAATGTAGAATGGTTTGGCACAATGTTTGGAATCTTACAAAAATGCGGTTACAAATTTGATGTTTCCGAGATGTCATTATATTCGATCTGAAGCTGACAGTGATGCGTTTGTGGAAGATTACATTACAACAGCGTTAGTAAGCACACTGAAGATTATTGTTAAAGCGATTGAGAATAATAAAAAGATTTTCACTGAAAATGGCAATGTAACAGTTTTGATTTAATAGAAGCTGTACGAGTATAATATAATTTTTTTACTCACCAGATCCCATACACAATTATTGATTTTGTGAAACGATGTGTATCAAAATTTTTGAGTATACAAATGACTGGTAGTACAGAAGTAGACATGTGGATGTTTAATAGTCAAAAAGAAGTATGGAGCGAATTTATGATTCATTACACAAAACTGATTATCGATAGTAATGCCAAATTTGATCATAAGTATACATATGAATTAGAAGTAAATCAAAGTTTTATAAGTTATTACTTTTAACTTATTAGTCATAATCTTTTAAAACAAAACAAAAATGTAGGTAATGAAAATATATGTGTTTTGAACTCTTGAGATTTTTTTTTTAAAATTACTATCGACTTTCCGTCACTTGAGCTGCTGGACTTAGGTTCTTGGTAAAAAGAACCGAGGTTCACAAACAAACGATAAGTGGCACCGGAACCAATATTATCTTATTAGATTTCAAATTATTTCTTGTAAAATAACCTTCGGAATTATTAATACGCATAAAGGCATAAAGTATAAAGCAAATTAAAGAAAACCAAATCTTACAACATTTAAAATGATACCACCTAGTTGTTCAGCTTTAACTATTTCTAAATTGTAATAAATAAACAATAATATTATTATATTTATTATAAAATATAATTTTAGTTCAAAGTACACATCATTCAATGTACATAATTATTATTTTAATTTTATTTTTAAATTGCATTTACTATAATTATAAGCTAATAACTATGTAGTTGATACTGTAACAATACAAAAAAGAATATATCCTTCTAAAGCATGACTTTATTAAAATCCGTTGTTCTAAAAATTGGCATTAAATACATTTAATATTATGTTATCTTAGTGTATGCCTTTGGAGTAAGTTTTATATCTTTAAACCCAATTTACTTTATTTCATCATGTCAATTTTTCTGGTATCTTAAATTGTAGAAGCATAATATTTTGTATGCTTTTTTTTATGGTAAAATTATGATTAGATACATAAAAAAGCGTTTTTGATATAGGCTATTTAGTTACACTAATATATTTTTTCAGAAACTCATATTAGTGTAATAAAATGGCCCCTCCAGTAATTATAGAAGGAAATTTTTCATCAAAACTACTTCTTTTTTGTGCGTTTAATAACCATGGCAATACTAAGGGCACTTCATCGTGGTTCACAAAAAAAAATAACAAAAGAAAAGACCTGAGAATTTATAAACATTTTTAAATTCAAGTAAATTAATATTTAACAAGCTGAAATTTTTTTTTTTTAACTTTACGTCGACCGGTGTATATATGTATTTAATATTGGAAAAAGTTGCTATTTAACTATTATTATTGAACAAATTTCAAACATTTCAAACACATTTCTATTATTGTTAACGGTTTGTCTAAAATCGAAGAAGTGCTCCATCCGATTACAAAGATTGGGTAGCTGATAACAAGAAATTAGGATTTTTCTATACATTTTTGTTTACAAAATGCACCAAAGCTATGCAGGTATAATACAGAATATGTTCATATCCACCACGTGTTATTAGATTCTTTCTACCAATGTGACAGTAGAATAGTGATTTCTGATATTTTAATAATTTGAATATTAAATCTGTTGTATGATATAGCTAGATGTTTATGCAAAATGTAAATATTTACTAGAAAACGTGAAAAACTATTGTCCTCAACATTATATAGATGGGATTACTAATACATGGATTATGAAACCTTCTTCAAACTGCTCTGGTCACGGCATTATGTTGTCTAGAGATTTGCATACAATAAAACGAAAAATTTCAGAATCAGGTGTTTTGAGGAATAATTATATTTTACAAAAATATATAGGTAAAAATAATATGCGGTATTTCAAAGTAACGACATTAAAAACATCAATATCATTATTATTTTTAGAAAGACCACTTTTGGTCTATACATGTAAAATTGATTTGAGACAATGGTTTTTAGTGACCAATATGAGTCCAGTAGTTGTGTGGATGTACAAGTTAGTATCCAAATAAACAGTTTGAGTACGTAATATTCTATGGAATATTGAAAGTATTTGCGAGATACATATTATAATTTATATTATATACAATTCCTTATAATTTGTAATTGCCAGGGCACTATGTGGGCAACATATCGTTTATAATAAAAAATGTTTAATTAATCAATTTTTATTTACAGAGAAGGTTACGTCCGATTTTGTGCCAATAGTTTCTCCATGCAAAACATGCATGAATCTATTCATCTCAGCAATGTAAGACTGCAAATGAAATATCGAAAAATTAGGAATCCACAAGTACCCGATGAGTGCATGTGGGATTACAGAGAACTACAAGACCATTTGAGGTATAATTGGTATAAGACAACTTACCGCAGAGATTTAAGAGGCTTCATTTGTAATTTTAGTCGAAAACTACTTATAGGACTGTTTAAAGTAATACGTTGAAAGTAGCAAGGTTTATCCCAATTTTCATTCTCAAAATATATTATCCATATCAATTACTCAGGGGCGTCTTCACGGGGGCGGGGAATCTCTCCAGGACCAATAAAAAATGTATACCAATTTAATGTAAGTGCGGGAGGGCACTAATCCTTCGATTTATCGTAGAAATAATGAACATATATCTCTCCCCCAACAATGAAAATTTCTATCTACACCACTGCATATTCTATATATGATATATGAAATCACACTGTTTTAAAAATTACAAAAATTCAAACTAAAGTACATTGGAACTTCGATGGCTCTAACGCGTGGAACGTATCAAAGTCAATTTTTGATCTTTCGATAGAATGTCTTGGCCCCTGCATTTGATATACCTACGTAAAATATTCTCTATGATTACGTACATAGCTCAAACGTTAGCTCAAATTTGTTTGCCCCCGACCGATTACAGTTATCGACGGTTCACTAAATTTAACCAAATAATACACTTCTAAAAATCTGGTGCGCTTGACCCTAACCGTATGTTTTAAGAATTAAAAACGGTGTAAGCATTATGACGTTGTATTAGAATACCCAATACGTTAGTTTATATTAGTGTTAGAGTATTAAATAGTGGTATTTCATGAAACACCTACATAGTTATTACTTATTACTTATTACATACATTAACCAAATTAATCCGATAAAACGTGTAGTATTAAATTCAACCTTGGTATTTTATGAATTCCCGGTCATTGTTCAAATATAGTTGATGTATTGGATTTCAAACCAAAATCAATCGTGTATTAATTTTGATAAATAGGTAATGTAAGTAATGTAATTAAAAAAATTGTGAACTACAATGTATAAATTATGACTATGATGGCTCCAATCATAAAAAAAATATTTTTTTTAGAAAATATAATTAATAACTAATAATCATAATAATAAAATTAATTGCTAGAAAAAATGTGATTCATAATATATTTTTTTAGATATGTATAGATAATACTAGGGCAGAGGAATTGTAGCTCTAATAAGTAATAAATCACCAAATATGCACTAAAATGTACAACATATGCATTAAAAATATGAATTTTAAAATTATTATGCATATTATAATGCATTAAAAATATTTATTTAAAAATAAGATTATTGTGGCCCGTATTGATATTATCTTTTGCAGTGAAAAATATCTGTACATGGATAAAATTAATAACCGGAAAATACATCTAATCGATGTTAACAGTCAACAACCACATTAATATGATCAAAACTTTAAATAATTTTAAATTCAACATTATTTTGGTTGTATATTAAATATTTAAATTAAATAAAAGCTTTAAAAATATTGATAAAATGATAAATTATTGAAAATATGCAGCTTAACGTATAGAATCGAAGAAATATGTACTAAAACCACAAAAAGTTCATGTTGCATTTATATGCAAAATAACATTTCAAAACTAACAAAGTTTCAGCATGAAACGTATTTGTTTCTTACTCTGCTATTTTTGTGATCGTGCAAAACAAATATGCAAATGCTAAAAGTCCTCTGCCCTAGATATTACCTTAGAGTCAAAGTCTTATATTTCATTTTTCAGAAAAATTGGACAAGAATATGTATGGGATGAATTAATATTTCCCGGAATGGGCGAGAGTGTTTACGCAGTGTTGAAGGCTGCTACGGACACTTCGTTTTACCGCGACAAAACTTTTCAATTATTCGGAGCCGATTTCCTAATCACTGAAAACTTTATTCCTTATTTGATCGAGATCAATTCAATTCCCGGACTTAATCCGTCGACCAGCACTATCGCCAACTTGGCGCCTATGCTCCTTAGCGATATCGTGAAAGGTATGTCATTGTAAATTAATTTTGTGTTATTTATGAATAGGTATGCCTACGTTTATTTAATTTATTTTTGTAATATTTGTTATTCTTGATTTAATAATTCATATTTTATTATTTTAAGTATAATAAAATATGCTTAAGCACATTTTATTGTATCGAAGAAGAAAATATATTTTTCTCTTACGGCCTACTCACTACTCAGTCACAATAAATAAATAAATTAACAATATAGCTAAATGGTTATAAGACACAAATTATTTTTTACCCGCCTAATTTTACACCTAATATCGAGAGTCTATAACCATAACTACAATGTGCATATACGTTTGCCACACACGAGAAAACTGATAACATAACTGTGCATAACTATATTATACCGGTGTTTCTTAACCTTTTTGATATCGCGGAACACCAAACATATATATTGTTTTTATGCGGAACCCCTATCGAAATTATGTTTAAAAAAGTATGAACGTTAGGTGATGTAGATAAAGTACTTTCGCGGAACCCCTAAGTGAGATCAGCGGAACGTTAAGAAACACTGTATTATACAGTCATTGCCAGATAGATTGACACGGCAGCGGTGGCGGCAGGCGCGGTTCTAGGACTAAATTTTCGTATGGGCAACAGTAGATTTAAAATTAGGTTTTAACTGCAAATAATATTTCTTATTTCCTCCCCCTTCCCTACAATTTTTTTTTAATAAAATTATAGTATTATTATTATAGTGTATAGCTTAAAATATTCATATTAATTATAATAGATAGGTAATAAAGGTTTTAAATATAAAAATAATAGAGTAATCCATAGTTTTGAAATAATTATGTATAGTTATGTTTATTTAAATTTAACTGTCAAAAAAGTTCAGACTGTTCAAACTTATTTTAAGAAAAATAGTAAGCTAAATTTGAAATTGTATTCTTCTGTTTTTCATGCTTGCAAACACTTCAAGGACAGCAGTTGGATCTTTTAATAATTTATCTGAGTTTTCAAAATCAATTGATAAAAGTGTAAGGCTACTTAATCGTGAACTCTTCATAGTCGATCTTAAATATGTCTTAACACGGCGCATGGTGGAAAAACTGCGTTCTGCACTAGCTGAAGACACAGGAATGGCCATAACCAATTCAATTATTTTTTTTACATGGTCAAAAGTCTCACCGTAGTTGCTTATTTGTTGATGTAGGTCAGATAATGTTAAATTATCCAAAAATAAAGATTTTCCAATCAGACACTGGTTCTTCAATACTTCTATAAAGTCATTAGTTGTATATGGTTGATACATATTACCTAATTTAACTAACAAATCTGAATTTAGAAATTCACTTGATTTGGGGTCACTTGCATGGATATAATTCAATATTTCATTGTTTTGGGTAAATCTATAAATCATTTCATTATTCATATTATCTAAAATCTGGAAAAAGACTCTTTTAAATTCATTTTCTGTATCTTTAGAGGACATGTTTTGTTTTTCTTTTCTACTAGTACTAGCACCAAGTGTTGAATAAGTTAAATAGTTATCCAGTGTTGATGAAATTCTTAGTTCTCTTGTTGGACTTAGTGTATCGTTAGGTTCAATATTCGAAGTCTGAAATACACTTACTGCTTCATTGTAAATATTGATGAATATTTTTTCTGACCTTAAATTGATCAATTGTTCCATAGTGGATTTGATCAATTTTGCACAACGGCTATAGTCAAGTGTTGTTGTCTGTAAGTTTAATGATAGAATATTTACTAAAGATAAAATATAATCCAAACAAAAAAGTAACACAATAGTTTTTAAAGAATTCATTTGAATTAGTAAACCCTTAGCTTCAGCAGCTTCCTTAGATTTTGAACTTTCAGTGCACTCTTTTAATGCTGTTAATACTAATGTAAAGTTGTTTTTAAAGTAACGAATACTTTTAAATTTTGATACCCAACGTGTGTCACAGTGCATGGGGACTTTCGACCCAGTTTTATCAAAAAATACTTGATACCTTAGTGTTGATGATGACTGAAATGCATAAACTGCTTCCAAGAGACCTATAGTATCATGTACTTCTTCTACCTTTCTTGAAACGTCAACTAAAACTAAATTCAATTTATGTGCATGGCAATGTATATATGGACACAAATTTCTGCAAGCTCTAGCAGCGACATTATCACATAGATAATATATTAGTAAGTTCGTCATCAATGTAATGATTATAATATAATTGTAAACTATCATTATAATTTATCAAATAATGAAATATCTTATTTTTGTATAAAAATAACATTTTTTAAATAATGGGCACCAGAAATTTTGGTATGGGCAGCTGCCCACCCTGCCCATACGCTAGAACCGCCACTGGGTGGCGGCACTTTTCAGTAGGTGTAGCCCAAAATAAGGTAGGCGGAAAAAAAGCCCCGAAAAAAAATCCAAAGAAAAAATCCCACAGAACTAAAAAGTACACGCGAGTACCATACAAATTGTAGTATTGTTTATTTTTTAAATATTTCGTTTATTATATAATCGAAAAAGTATAATACAATTATACTTTTGTACAATAGTTCATAATATAGATAACAGATAATAATCATACATAATATTAACTAATGGCCTAGTAGCCAATGTTACTAAGATGAATAATAAATGAATAAATAATAAATTGTTGTATAATTAATGTAGCATGTACCTAAGACTGATGTTCTTTTGACTGTAAGTTCTATAGACGTACAAAATGACCTAAGCTCAAAATTATGGAACATGGAATATTAACGAAAATACAATTAGAAGTTTAATAATTTACGCCAATATTTTCTATTTAGTACTTACATCCATTTAATGAGAACCACTGGTCTTCGGCACCACCGCCGTGTCAATCTATCTAGCAACGACTGTACAAAATTGTTGTAGTACTACCACCTCCAGTAGTGGTTAAATGACTTTGTCATGTGGGTGGGATGAGACTAATTTTTAATACACACTTTGATTATTAAAAATACAAAAAATACATTTAAATGATATAAGGTATATTTACTAAATCAAAATATAAGCTAAATTTTGTTAAGTAGGTACGCAAATACTCAATATTACTTATATACTTATACAGGTCATACATGTAATATAATATAAATACTGAAAAAGGTCATAGGGGGGGGGGGGACGTAACCACCACTCAACCCAACAACCGCTGTGCCACCCATGTTTAATAAATTATTTTTGTTGCCTCAACGTTTGTTTTATACTATATTATAGTAACGGTGGATTACGAGAAAAACTCGAACGCCGACACGGGGCTGTTTATGAAAGTTGTGCCAGAAAAGTGGAAACCACCAGCTGTGGTTGGGGGTTTAGGTTCCGTCGCGGTCGCGGTAAACGGCGGAAATTCATGTAACTTGCCGCCGGTCACCATGGATCACGGTGCAAATGTTAACAACTCGTCGGTGGCCGCGGCCTTTGAACCAGCACCGTTCACGACTGGATACCACAACCAGTGGATGGACAGTGTGAATAAAAAGTTGGCGGCACTTCGGCTACGGATCAACGACCGGAAGACGCCAGACGACAGTAGTGTTCTATGCAGTAAGCCCCGCAATACGTGATAATCTCAAATTACCGCGAGATATATTATACATTTTAATGCATAAATATTTTTTTACTCAAGAAATAAATACTATTATAGTGGTGTGTACTTTGGTATTTTTTAACATTTCACAAAAATTGTTTCGTGGAGTTTAAAATGGATAATCTGTGACTTGGCCCTTTTTTAATGGTTATTATTTTTTTGTTATAGGTATATCATTCCTTTTTTATGGCTTCAGCATAGTGGGCGCTATCTTGGGTTTAATCATAATAATAAATTTAATTACGGTAGACGACAGCTGGTTTTTGCTATATGCCATGGTGCCAATTTATTCAATGGCACTTCATGCAATTAAAACTACCCTCCCTAAAGCGACATACATTTTGAGAAACTTTCTAGACTTTTCCTTTTGCAATGTACGACTTTATGTCAAATTTCATGTATCAATTTACTGCCATTATGATTATCATTAGTATGAGAAAATTCAAATTTGCGCCCTCTAATATCTTTAACTAAAGGCTAATTTTTACTTTTTTTTTATCAAAACTGATAAAGTATTTGAATTCAGCACCCTTATTTATACCTAAATTGGTGTATCGTATATTATGTTTTATATTTTATTTGAACGAAATGGCCGTACATCAATCAACATTCAATTACCTAACATAGAATAATAAAAATTAATAAAAAATTAATGTTAAATATTTAAATATTCAAATCAGTTTCAGTAAATTCTTATTAAGCATATTTAAGCGCATATACTCACTAAAAAAAAAAGATTATTACATCACTAGTAAAAAGTATGATCCAAGTATGTAAGCTAAGATTCCACATTATTTAACTTGCCTCCTGTGAAAGATGACTTATTGGAAAAAGGTGATTGATAATCACGCTAGTCAATTATTACGGCTTATTATTAATTATTAGATAAGTAAATAACAATACGACTATTAAAATCCAGTAGACAATAAATAACTTGTTATACCAAGTTGTTTGCTTTGTCAATTACGTTACTAATTTTACAAATAGAACCTAATATTTATTATTAAAATAAATAAATACACGAGTGTCATTTATTTGAAATGTGTAAAATAACATAAGATATTAGTTCTTAATATGAAAAAACGGAACAGGTGTCTAATTTTAATCGGCGACTAAAAGCTAATGCTAAATATTAAGCATTATTAATTTGATAAAAAATATTTTGTAATTTTGTAAGAAGTTAAATAGGTACTCTACTTGATGTTTCATCTTTATCTTGAGTACACAAAAAATAGATGCTGGTGTATTAGATTTGATTATGTGATTGATTTGCTTGTTCGTCTTTTCAATGTCAAATTTCACAAATGGATTGTAAAATTTGATTTACATCTTTATGAATAAAAAAGAAAATATTTGTTTCAAAACTTACCGAACATTTTAGACGGTGTACTATGTGCCTTTAACAGCGAACTATCATCAAAAAAGGTTGAATTTAAACTTAAACCCATCTTCAGAATTCATATTATAAAGATTATTGTCATCTGTACTCGAAGTTTCATTTCTAATATTAAAAATAATAATTTCTTTATACAGCTCGTCCCGCACATGTCACCCGGGACTGAAACCGCTCATTTCAGCCCTGGATATACGTACTATTCTATCATATTTAGATATTTTTCAATCGATGTATTTTATTTTATTACAATACCAGATAATATATTAATATATTATATATGTACACATTTAAAAGCTTATAGTAATAAATAATAATTTAGATGCTTAAAAATTTGTAGTTTATATTTTCAACGCATAATAATAGAAATAATATTTCTCACTCGTCTGTTGGTATTTAATATACGTCTTCCATAAAAAATAAGACAAGGTTGAAATCCCAACTAGTGTGTTCAGAGTTTATATTTTATATACTTTATACACAATGTCCATGCGTAGGTATTTGAGGTATTGTTATGAGACTTCTCCAAGGGTGGGCTGAATCATATAAATTGTATTGAAATTTCGTCCCAAAAACACATAACCTCGGAAACATTTCGAAGAAATTGAACACAATGGGAACGATATATATAACTACCCTACACCCCCTCCCCCAACATTAGTTCACCAACCACGTATTTACTCGAGTGGTGACCTTTACCACCACGAACTGGACACAGGGCAGCACTATAGTTAGTTGTTCGAAGCACATCAACAGTGTAGTACTTACAGAGGCATACGCAGCGATTCGTAGACGAAGTTATCGAAACCCGGTGTTCATCTTTCATAAAATAATCAAGGTAATTATTAAAACATCATTAAAATTCTTTATTCTTTAATAGTATTAGTTCTTTCTTCACTCATAATAATGATACATAGTTTAGTTGTTATTGAGCTAAATAACAATACAATATTTCCTAAATTTAGACTACTAAATATTTTTTGATTAAATCAACTGTCTTTTGATTATTCGGGACAAATACAGAGACTCCAATAAAAATAATACTATTTTGGTAGGTAACAAAATAATCATAAAAACCACTGCCGAATTACAATAATATAATATTTTACCAATTTCGATATTGGTTCTACATTTTATATTCGGCATTGTTTTAAGAACATACAATTTGCCATAAGACCGGCGTTTAAGTTAAAAAGCGACAAGTAGTTGCTCCCTTCGTATGTTCCGCAGCAGCTGTTCGTCAAGACTTTAACCGTGTTATCAATATATCTGCACTCGACACTTGCCGAATAAACCCGCCTGTGATAAATGATAGAAATAAAAATACTATAACTTCAAAATTAAGTTAGAGTGACAAATTCACAATTTAACAACATTGCTAACTCATTAATCCACGTGTTTTAAAATAAAATAAAACATGGAGAATTTGTACCTAATAGTAGATAATAGGTAAAAAACGTATTAGGGTTATATCGAGCTGTTATTTATTCTGAAAGATGAAATTATATTAAGTTTATGAAAATGGTTACTTTGTTAATAAAGATATTTTTTGTGTTTTTTTTTAAATTTTAGTTGAAATAAATATGGATCAAAATCCTTTTGATGATTCCGTTGAAAATGTTCATGATCTGAATGAAAATGAAAGAGAATTTGATGAATCAAATCCGCTCGATAATCTGAATTTTCACCATTTTCAAGGTGGGTATCAAATGTTTTTAACATTTTACTTGCTTGTAATATTTGAATCAATTTCATAATAAATAAATGTTGATTTTATGAAATACTTAGGTAACATGGTATTAATAATATTGAATTTTAAATTGTGAAGTAACCTTCGCATGCCATCGATATTTTGATATTGTCCACTTAACACTTACTACCTAAAAAATAAAAAAAAAACTTAAGTCTTACAGAAAATATTCCATACAATTACATATTTTAGTTTTAAGTCAAGAGCCACAGAGTTTAAGAGTAGTTATGTTCATGAGTATGACTGACAATACATTTACGTCTCTACTGACGGGTTGTACTATTAAGGTAATTAATCTATATAGTGAGCTAATGATTCCTTAAACAAGATTTAGTGGGCCGATTGGTGCATTAAATTTTAGTATACCATTAAATAAAATCAATTTTTTATGAAACACGAAATACAAATAGGTAGGTACCTATATAATATTTTCGATTTTGAATTCTTTACTGATATTGCCGGACAGTTGCGGTCAAGGTCTTAACATTGAACGTGGTTGAAGTTAAATCCTGATTTAAGCCCTATCGTGTTAGTGTAGTAGTGTACTATTTACTCAGTGGTGTATAATGGGCCATATTAAGACGCCATACCCCCATGCTTTGTCTCAGTCTTACAAACGATGTCTTACAACATAGTACATTGTACGTTCTGATTAATTAATTAAACTCTGTTATGTTTAATATTACAGTGAATTGACCTATAATCAAATTTAGTAGTAAGAAGATTATCTAGTCGACAACATAGGTTTTTTTTATACTTCAGTTATAAAGCGAGTTCTGGGCTTTTTAAGATGTACCTACAAACAATTTATTATTATGAAGCCCTCATAGCTCACTTAAATATTGAAATATAAAAAAACCTATGTTGTAGATTAGATAATTTTCTTGCTACTACATTTGATTACACATAGGTCAATTCACTGTAAGATTAAACAAAACGGAGTTAAATTAATTATTCAGAACGTACATTAATACGCTATATGTTATGTGTTTGCAAGACAGAGACAAGGCATGCGTGTATAACATTCCCTTAATTGATAAGATTAAGCATTAATCCCCCCTAGCGTATCTGTCTTATCTATGTAATATTCGAGATGTGCCGCTAAGAGGACCGTACGCGCTCAAGTCACACCGCCGGTTTATCATTTTTTTTTGCTTCGCCGGTTTTGTCTCGTAGTTCTCGTACTCTCGTTCCTTTTTCCACAATGGCTGAAACGACGGCCGCTCTCTTCGTCCGGTTTTTGAGTGTGCTGTACGCCTGTACGCGTCGTCGTTATCACGCGTCTACTGTGTGCAAAGTGTGCCGGCCATTTGCGTCGTTTGTATTACCTGTATTTTACTCATCGATTCCGATTGTGCGAAGTGTAGGCATCAACTCGACATTTTGCTTCGCGCTTCGTCGTGGTTGGCGTGTTGCCGACGTTGATATCATCATTGTGCACTTCTTACGTATCCAACGAGAATAGGTAGGTAGTAGGTACCTTTTTTTTTCTCTTTGCGAAAGCTGTGATTATAATTTAAACTCTATTATTATGACTACTTTCCTATTATGTATTTCCACCCAATAGTAATACGGTACCTAATTTTCTAATATAAAAGTATAACATATTCTATAGAAAGCCGCTTTTGTAAACTATTGGACATTTTTTACTTTTGTCCATCGAAAGTACCAACTAGATTCTCTTTCTTACCAGAAAAGATGCTAATGAAGAAAATCGAAGCACTTTAACTGTCCCTAAACTTGATGTCAGATACAAAAAAAAAAAATTAAATAAATAAACTAAAACACACACATTGTAAGATCAATACATTATCGGTCCGCTCAGAATCTAAAATTAAAGCATTCTCTATAAAATAACAAAGTTAAGTCAGGTCTTATATGACCACATATTGCTGATAATTAACAAGTTTAATTTGAACTGATAACTCTTAGTATAATTTTCTTATCTGCTAAATCTGGCAAGTCTATTATTTTGTTATGTTTTGATTTTTCAATTCAGGTTAAAAACTTGGTTGTGTTCGAATATGAACCAAGATCGCTTTTTCGGTTGGCTTTCCTAAATATTCATAGACAATATACATATTCAAATAGATGATGTGATTGATGTATTTTCTGCCAGTAAAAAAAAAATAGCTCTTATATTATAATTATTTAGTTTTTATATAATCATTTATTAAAAATATGTATTTAAACTTTTGAGCATTAAATAATGCTAAATAAGGTACTGTTTACTATGTTAAATGTTTTTGTACCTATTTTAACTGAACAAGTTTGTTGCATTTGAATTTCTCTTAAGTGTCGCAGTAAGAGATATTTTGTGTTTTGACCTTCCTGAAAAATTATCCCAAATACACCACTGCATATGAATTATACAGTGATTTATAAAAAAAAAAAACTTAAATAATTTGTTATAAAGTAACTTATAATAGATTATTTTGTTAATACCACACTTAATAATCAATCAATAAAAATTTTGTTTATTACTTAACCCATTGTAGCCATTAATATTTTGTCAATACTTTTTTTTTCATTATTATTAATTTTATTTAAAAGTGCTATTGTCATTTGCCATTTAATGCCAATAGTTTCATCTAACATTTTTCACAGTTTCATAAATAATATTTTTTTGTCAATCCTAGCCAGCTTACATACTAACTCGCATACTAACATGCCGTAAAAAAAAAATATTATATTACATTATATTGTATAATACATTTAAGAAAAATCATATACTTCTCGGGTTTTTAAATTGTTGTCAGTTTGTACCTACCATTTCTAATAAATTATTTATACCTTCATTATTTGAAATTTTTGTTGAGATTTGACAACTTAAATAATGTTTGTTTTTTTGAGCAACCATAGAAAATTGGGTTTATGTTAGTTAGCAATAATATATTTATTTAATACTGTCTTTAAATCTAAAAATCAAAATATTGAGTTTTATGGCACAAGTATTCACTTAAATATGTACAGTACAAATTTACAATGGTGTTGTAAAAAATGCACTGAGAGGAGAACATTTATTATGCAACATCGTTTTCATTTTTTCAAAATGACAAATATAAAAGAAGCGGGTAAGTGGATGTCGTTCTGTTGTACATTAGGTTTCTAAGAGGTCGCTGTATATTAAAATACAGAATTCAATGATATCAAATCATTGTATAAATTAAATTAACTTTTATCTTTTTCTTATTGATGCATATTAACTTAACTGAAAATCATTAACTTGCCCAGCAATGCCTAAAATAATATTCAAAGAAATAGTGCGGGTTGTGTTTTCCTTATCTGCAGAATCAACATCAGGGTTTTCAATCAGTATTATTTTGTAGACGGTGAAGTTAATGCCAAAAAATATTTTGTAGTTTTACAACCGAATAGCATTTTGGGACAGCTAACAGCTTCTTGAATTATAAAAAAATACATATAAGTATAATAAATAAATGGAATTTTCGTATTTTTTCAGACAAACAGGTGAAAACTGACCTAAAATCTAAATAAAAAAATATATATTTATATAGATTTAATAAATTAGGTAATTTAATTTTTATGCAACTTGTATTTACATATATTTTTATCACAGAAATTAATAACATTACGTATAAAAATATTTTTCTAATTTATAGCGTATACTTAATCAAAATGTTTTGGTTTTTAGGGTATATTTTAAGAGTATGTTTAAGATAATTGCAAATGCAATTAATTTTTCATTAAAAGAACCCTAGTGACTGACAAAACAAAGGTGCCCTTAATGGTTTGATAAAAAAAATTAAAGATGTTTGAATTAGTAAACAAGTTTACTTTGCATCAGTTTACAGAGCATATATTTTACATTTTTCATACCTTTTAATATATTCAATATTAAAAATTGACAAATTTATAAAATGTAAATTCTTGTCAGTAATTTGCTAAAATTGAAAAAGTGCTTCTACCTACCGATGCAAATAAAGTTGCTTACCAATTAAATTATTTTTACATATTTTAAATTAAATGACTAGAAATACTTAAATTTTGGCAGTCATACAGGTATTTCCCGTCCATAAATTGGTTTTGAATATTCGTATAACTATGATGTGGGTGATAGGTGGAGAGTATATACACACTAATGATAATTTACTGCAGAAACTCAGAGACAAGCAGTGATAGCAAAGAACAAAATAATTGCCTTAATTCAACCCTTTAAAAATGTCCATTTGCAATCCCCTTAAGTGATTGCGCACATTTTAAAGACATATTTAGTGATTTTTAGGCCATAAATTAATGCATATTTTAAGGTTTTTAAGGGCATTAAACCCCAATTATGATTTATCATACAAATATATATTTATTAATCTACAATAATATAATAATAATTTATTATTGTTTAAGCTTTAATGTATGTATATCAGAATATTTATGTATTCTTAGTTTAATGATTAGTGTCTATTTTATGAACATATATCTATCATTAGTATTGACATACTATTTTAGACATTTTATCCAATTATACAACAAATTAGTAGGTACCAAATTTATAGAAAAAAAGTTAAAAAATCAATAATTTAGTGTCTTATTTTTTTTTTGCAGGGGTTTTAGGACGTCCTGTTGAATTGGTAACAAATTGCATTGAAATATTTTCTGGACAAGATTGGAAGTTGCAAAAATACAGGATATATTTTAATCCAAATGTTGAAACCAAAGTCAAAAAAGAAATGTTAGTTAAACATATATCATTTTTGGGTGAATGTGTTCTTGAAGGAAATATTATGTATAGTTTTATCAAATATGAACATAAAGTAAGTCTTTTCCAATATCTTATACAGAAATACATTTTTATTTTACCAATTTTTTGTAGGAAGTTAACATATACGAACACAGTGGCGATAGTGGTTTGCTGGTAATGATCACTATAAATCACATATCTGAAGTTGAAGGAAGTGACATAACAATAGCACCAATTGTCATAGAATTTTTAAATAATTGTTTAAGGCATTTAAAATGTATTAAGGTTGGATCCAATTACTATGATTCTGAAGCTACAGTAAATATTCATATAATTTAATAATTATTATTAGTGATGGGCATAATCGAATGATTTCGATAATCGAATGATTAGTAATCGAGACATTTTCATAATCGAGAGAATCTCTCGAAAAATAACTCGAAATTAAAATCGTTTTTTCCTATGAAAACAATAATCGAATGATTAGTAATCGAGAGAATATCTCAAATTAAAATAATTTATTCGTATGATAAGAATAATTGACTATTATTACGTATTTAGAGAATCAAAAAATTACTCAATTAATACACTTGAGTAAATAATTATTAATTAAATTTTGCTTTCTATATTTGTTGATATATATTATATTTATAATTAAAATAAACTATAATTTAGGAATAATAATAAGTAATAAACTAATAACCATGATGTATTAATAATTTATTATTAATAGATGCTTTTATTAAAATACAGATTTTCATTTTTTTATTTAATAATTATTATCTAAATTTTAAATTAATCTGCTGGTCTAAAATTTGATTACTCGATTATTTTATTTTACTCATAATCGAAATTATTCGATTACTCTATTATTTTAGTCATAATCGAAATATCTCGATTCTTTTTCATAATCAAGATATCTCTATTATATATCTCGATTATGCCCATCACTAATTATTATTAAGGATCATAGAATAATTACTGAAAACTAAAATAGTTATTTGTAATAAACAAGGTTTGGGACTTTTAGCACCTATATTCATCAAAATAAGCTCTGAAATAAGTATTTAAACATTTCATTAGAAGCATTCAAATGAGCATAAAAATATTAAAATTGGCAAAAAAAAACAACCTAAACTATCAATACATTTTTTTGATATACTATGATTTAATTTTTATAATAAAAAACATTAAATTGTTTTTAACTTTTTAGCCTTTAGAGTCGAAAACATTTTAACTTCTGTATTATTCTTTTTATATATTTTCTGAGAAATTTTCTAATCGAAAAAAATGTATTAATTTGGTTGAATAGTAGATAAGCTAGCAAATACGAGTTCCAGTGTTTGTTACTAGGAAATATGATACAAAGAAATTGACTAAAATTTCTTGGTTTTTATCAGTGGCACCTATCTTTATCTAGGCTGTAGAGCACAGTCAGCCAAGATATGCATAAAATCAAAAATTATCGGAGTAGTTAGAAATAAGCATTTTTTTAAAAAAATCTTTGAAAAAATGAACTAAAAGCTTTTTCAAACTTAATAATTGAAGGTAATTGTAACTTGACATATACTTCTATATCACTCTAATATATTTTATGTTTAACCATAAAAATAAGCAAATGCTCCAAGTCCCGGGCCCAGGTAATAAATATTTACAATTGTATTGTGATAACATATTTTTACAAAATGTTGTAAGTATGATTAATATTTATGTATAGCAAGAATTGAATTGATTTTTTATAATGTTTTTTTGAAGTTAATACTTCATAGGCCGCAGCGCTAAGCCTCCACTCTTGCCTACTATAGTCTATATTATAGTATATATTAATTATATTTTGTTATAATATGTTTCTTGGTTACTTAGGTACTATTTTTCTAAATTATTATAATATTATCGATGTACTGTTGAATCAATACTGTTTGAAGCTAATATTTAAATTTGTTTGGATTTATACAAAAAAATGTTATATTTGTCTTAAATATTGTTAAGTGTAGTGAGGAATACAGAAACAAAATTAGAGAGGCACACAATGATTCCAACGCTAGGTATGGGGTCTAATGGACTCAAGGTCCATTACCCTAGAATCACCAAAGTAGGTACATAAATGAGTCCTAAAATATTCTATTGATTGTTATTTCATATGTAACGATTTGTAATCCTAATTTAAACATTTGTACACCTCCCCAAACTTGGGAAAATCAATTTTCCTGTGGGGGTATTGGTGTAACAATAACAATTGTGGGCACTAGTCAGTAGGATCAATCAAGCTCATGGCAGTACTGGTAAAACAGTCACATCGGTACAGCAATAAGAAAATTAGTAAAATAACGCAAATTACATTTCAAAAATAATTTCTATAGAGTTATGTGTTAATTTCCAAGTTATTAAAATACGTTTTGAATGTTGAATGTATGACAAAACATGGGGGCTAGGATATTTGAGAAAAATTTAAAACAATATAAAATGTATTTAATAATTGTTATTTAAGATCTCAAAAATAAATACTCATATATTTTGTTCATGTATAACCTATAACATTCACTACAAAGTTCCTAATACTTAAGTCTTTATGGACTGATTATGTAATCAATTTAAAAAAAAAGTAATGATATTTGTAACAACCCTACTTTTTGAAAGAAAAACTAAAGTAAAACGTGACGAGGATCATTAAAATAAAAATATTTAATGCAACGAGTATCGTGATTTTATTACTTTTTTAAAGTAATTTACCCTACACTGGAAATAATAATTAATGTTATATTTTGTGAGTCATATATAATATACTTAAGTAGTTCTAGAGTAACGGACCTCGTTTGGAGCTCGAGATTATATATATTTTGTGGCTCTGGCAAGGAGGTGGGCTCTGACAGCTTACAGTTACTGGCAGGTGTAAACAGGTATTTGGTCATTACCATATTTGGTCAAGTACGACTAAGTGTGGTATACGGTAACGACGATGCTACTGTACATCAAAATGTATAATAGTATATGTTAAGTTTGTATTTTATAGATCAATAAACCATTTTCACCTCTGCTATTCCCGTATTCACTTCTAGTGTGCGTACTGACATACAGGTTTTTTTATTTTTGTGTCTGAAAACACTTTTTCTGGAAGAAAGAATGGTCTAACCAACAACTTTGATAGTGGCTTATGGAAGAAAATTGGATCTAATTGGTTTTTATAAGAGGTCAAATTAAAAATTCTCAGTACTTATTAAAATGATCAGGAGAAGAAAATATGAAAATTAATTAAAATTGTAATATGATTATTAAAATAATAATCACTCAGAATCTTTTTTCATTAAATATTGATTTGTCATTGAATTAACATTTATCACATTCATATAAATGCCTAATCAATGATGAGGAATACTCGACTCCTGCAGTTACCTTACCCTTACCCTTACCTACTCTCTCCCTTTATTTCTATATGTATTTTTATTTTTATTTTAGGTAACTAATAAAAGACTTGGATTACAAATTTGGCCTGGTTATCAGCTTGGAATCAAAAAATTTAATGATCAATTTGCAGTACGCATTGAACTATTAAACAAATGTACAGTTGAGGAAACAGTTTTAGATTTTTTCCATGTGAGTTGTGGAAATAACAGAAATAGAGTCTCTAGCTTAATGGTGAGTAGTTATTATACAACCTTCATAATATGCACCAATGTATCCAATATTATTGACTTTCAAGATTGTCTTTAAAAACATGAATGAAGACTTTTGAACACCAACTTAAATTACATGCATAGAGTCAAACTTATGGAACTCTGGCTGATTGATTTGTACACTAAAATGTATTAATTTCATTGTTAAATATTGCATTTAAAATAATTAAAGACAGACAAAAATGTATTATTTAAAATAAAGTAGTTGCTAATTATAAAATGTTGAAAGTTTAGAATCCGCTTCAATTGATTATTGATGTAAAAACTTTCTTGAATAGGTGCCTACTTTGTCTGTATTTTGTTTTTTAATATACAAACACTTTTAATGGCAGAATTAATTATTTAAGTATTTACTAGAACTCTTACCTGTGTTGGATGATTAATTATATTTTCTTGTTGGCTTTTCCAGAACAATTTTAAAGCTAGTATTATTGGGACTGTGGTTCTGACACCACATAATAACAAACTGTACAAGATACAAGGTGTTGATGGAAGTATAAATATATGTTCAAAATTTATTGATGAAAACGGTTCAAGTATATCATATAAGGACTACTATGAACAAGTAATTTATTTTATTATTATTATTTTTTTTTTTATTGGTCCTGAAATTTTAAAACTTTATGCTTCTTAGCCCATCAGCATTATATTTGTATATACTTAACTTAACATTTATAAAAGAGGAGATGCACAGATCAATCAACAAACAAATAATAATGATGGTGATAGTGTGTTGCATGTAGCCAAGTATTCTTACCTCAGACTTTTCTCCAAAAATGACATACCTTAACGTTGTAACTTTGATTAAGATTAACTAATAATAATAATAATAATAACCTAACCTAATTTAGATTAACTATATACATATAAATATGCATGTCGTATATACACACAGACACACATAATATGACATGTGTGCTACTGCATTATATTTTTAGTAGCACACACATAATATGACATGTGTGCTACTGCATTATATTTTTAGTAGCATGGTTTACATCTACTTATGACTAGACATAACATTGTGTTATACAGTTTTACAATTATTGCATTTTTCTTAAATTTTGGAAAATGGAAGTAATGCTACCAAAATAAACAAAACTGTGATGTTTAATAGTTTTTTAATACAATTTTTTTATCGATACAATTGATACTATAGTTTTGTTGTGTGACTTTTAATTAAGATTATTAGGTATTAAAATAATGGGATAGAGACTTATCTTTTTTTAAAGACTCAATTTCTCAATTTACCTACTACCTTTTTTTCCTGGACCTAATTTATCAAGATAAGGTCATTAGGGGCCAAATTTACCTAGCCTCATATTTTGCCTTCTTTTCCATCTCTTGACTGTCTGTTTAATTTAGCTTAATGTATTTGTTTGAATGCTCTATTTATTTTACCAGAGGAAGGGGGTGTTTTGTTCTGTGTATAGGGGATGGTAGTTGAAAAAAAAAATCCCCGGAAAATAAATACCCGCACTAGGAAAAAAAAATCCCCAGTAGCATTATACCTACCGGTAGTATTATATTATTTCATAAATTATATTATATGAAAAATAAAATTAATATTGTAAATTATATTGATAATGAATTACCAAATATATACATGTATTATGTTATATGTACATAAAATGTAAGCCACGATGGTTAAACTTTTGGCATTTTAAACAGTATACTCAAAATAAACACGATCAAGATGTAATTCCAACTGACCAATTAGTTGTTATATTTGTTTCAGTTCTAGTATAAGATTATAGATAGTAAATATCACGCATCCCACAATCGTCGTAGATAAATAGACATTATCTGTAACCCCTAATCTTTGTAAATTGTTTTTAATCTAGATTTTCTGCCCCTTTATCAATTTTGGAAGCAAATGTACATATTTTTTGAAATTTGTTTAGTTAGTTGCTCAAGAGTAGTTTTCACATAACGTTTGTATAAATGTGAAGGTATATTTTCTCTCCATAGTGTATTCAGTTATGGGTTTATGTTGTCTATGCTTGTGTGTTATATTGTTATATGGTATAATTTTTGTAGTTTATTTTTGACTTGCTCTCAACTATTGTACTTATAAAGAGTGTATATTTTTATACTTGACTCACTTGTATGTTTCTTATTTTTAGAAATGGAACATAACTAATTTGGATCCAAGCCAGCCAATGTTAAGCGCTTCAGGTCCTAATGATGGAGTTGGTACGGTATATCTCATCCCCCAACTCTGTACTATAACTGGATTTAAAGACATTGGGTAATTATAATTATATATTAGTATGTAAATAAAAATTTCTGAATTTAACTAAAAATAAAATATATTTCTTAACTTAATGGTAAAAACAAAAATTATGTTTATACTATAATATTGTGTGTCTAAAAAGCCTAACTAAAAGTTCCATATTTTTTTAACTATCTTCATGGCATATAAATTCAATTTTTTCAATAGTATTCTACAAAACAAAATATAGAAGTATCCTGTGAAGATATACTCATTAGCCATAAAAAAAGACTCGCCCGCCCATTCAAAACCGATTTTTATCGTTTTACCTTTGAACTAAAAAAAGATTTTGAGTGCATGAAATTAATGAAAAAAAATGTTGAAAGGTCAAAATTTTCAGAAAAATTAACTTTTTATAATTTAACTTTTTTACTGGAAAATTAAATTAAACTAAAAAAATAAAATATATCTTGTCTTTCTTTCTGTAAGTCTCACAAAGAAAACAGATTTATGATATGTTTATTATCTGAGGATATATCGGCATTGCAATGGGTTAATCCTCGTGGGACGCACTGTATACTATCTAACTGAAATTTTCTTATTTAGCCTGTTTACTATGATACCGGGACTGTAACCAAAAAATATAAATAACAGTTAATTTTATATACATTTTAAGTTCAGATTTGGACAACATTAGATATTTAAAAAAAAAACAATAACAATTTTAGTTATTTTTTTGTAATTTAAAAATATTTTTCATGTGTACTTGTTATGTTACTAATTGTGCATTAATTAATTACAAATGATGGACTAGTGTACTACTTATAGAATAATAAATTACTTAAATTGGAATTTAACATAAAATATACTTAATAGTATAGACTTTAGGCTGTAGTATAGCTGTAGTATACAGTATACTGTCATTTGACTTCAAATTAAACATATCCATTACAGTGACTTACTTGACCTATTTTATTAACTATCAACTATTTTAAAATTACAGAGAAAAGCACCTGGTTAAAGAATTTAGTGAGTGTGGAAATACAAATTATGGACCAAATAAAATAATAAATAAATATAATATATTTCGTGGTAAAATGCAGTGTACACAAAAGGTAAATTTGTTTATTAAAACATAAAAATTTTTATTTATTTTTTTATTTTTATTTGTTCTGTGTACCATAGTTTTTAAAAGCATTACAATCATGGGACTTCGGTTTGGGTAGAAAATTAATTAGAATTCCTGGACGTGTACTCCCTCCTATGGATTTAAAATGTTTTAACCAGATTATTCCTGCTGGACATCAAGGAAATTGGACAGATCAATTAAATCAATTAAGAATGTTAGAAACTCCATTTGTTGAAGACTGGATTGTTTTAGCTCCTTCAAAATATTTTTCTAAAGTGGAACGATTTGTTAATACTCTAAGGTTAATAGCAGGAAGAATGGAATTATACCTACCAGATCCGGAAATGTTAGTTTTGATTATTTATTTAATTAGTTGCATTTTCGACTATTTATAAAGTGCTTTACACTCCATTCCATAAGAGAAGGTACACGTTTTTTCATCCGTCAATGCGCATCTCCCACCAATTTCACCCGATTTGGCTAAGCACCATGCAGTAAAAAATGGGGGAAATTTGGCCTCCACTAAATTGACAGCTACGGTCGAATTCGCAACTCGTGTACCTTCTCTCGTGGAACGGAGTATAGTTGTGGCGTTTAAAGATGCAAACTTGAAAGTGGATGATTTAGAGTCCATTTCGTGAAGCCTGGCACTTACAGCAACTAACTGCGCTGTTGGTCAACTTCTTAAAACGGCAAGATTATAATATGCAAACATACTAATTTATGTTTATGTTTTTAGAGTGCAAATTAATGATGTATCTCAAAGATCATACATGAAACATTTGGATGAGATTGTAAATAGAAATGCCCATTTTATTTTATGTGTGATCAAGTCTCTGAATGGTGATCTTTACAAACTAATAAATAGAAAGTTATGTATCGAGACATCAGGTAAATAAATTAAATTTAAAATATGCCCATCAAAATTAATTATTTTAGTCTAATTTTATTTGTGTACCTACTCACATAAGTTATAATTTTTAATAACTTTAATCCTTATAATTTACTAATTTACCTATTCAAACAATTTAAACTTTGATTTTTATATACTACACTAATATCAATGAATAATATATACAAATAATTCAATAGAAATTAGTTTATTAAAATCATAAAAATAATTTTAAAAAAATATTTCAGTTCCGTCACAATTACTGTCTTTGAAACATGTTACGACCAATAATTTATCAAGGTATATCAAAACTGCAATACGAATAAATTGTAAGTTTGGTGGAGTGCCGTGGTCAGTAATGGATGTCGTCAGTGATAAGGTATTACTATTTCACAAATAATTTATTAATAAATTATGTACCATCAAATATGATTAATTAATTTAAATGCATTTTTCAGGATATTATGGTAGTTGGGTTGAATATGTACCGAGATTCACTTAACAAACATAAATATTTTTGTGCAGTAATGGTTTCAATGAATGAATCTTTTACGAGATACTTCAGTTCTGTTGACTCAATATGTGAAGAGGACATTTCAGAATTTTATGTTTTGAGTATTGCTAGTATGTATATTAAATATTATCATTTATTAAAAACCTAAGAAAGGATTTTTCCTATTGTTATTATATTGCTTGTGTTTATTATATATAATTTGTATTAAGACGTTATCTCTGTCTTATAACTGTGTAACACACCAAATTTTACTATCAGCAGATCATGTTAAGCTCCGTTAATTTGAAAATTAGAGTGAATTGAACTTTTATACAAATTAAAGTTCAGATTATTATTTAGGGCATTTCGTGGGCTTTTTTTTATATTTTTAATTTTAAGCAAGTTATGAGGATTTTAAAATTTAAAATTGTTGATACATCTCAAAATACACATAACTCGCTTTAAAATTAAAATATAGTAAAAAGCCAATGAGATGCCTTACATAATAATCTGAACATTAATTTTTATACAAGGTCCAATCAGTACAATTTTTTAACTGGTGGAGCTAAACCTGATTTGTTGAGAGGAAAATTTGCAGTGTTACATGATTGTAAAGATGGAGATAATACATTTGAATTATCCAAAATAACTATTTTTGCGATTATTAATTCAAGTTGGTGACAATGATACTAAATTTTGTGATGAATGTGTAAATAACACCTTTTGGAGCTCAGTATATAGCTAAAATATTGTAACTATTTCCGTTGTATTTTACTATTTTAATATTGTAAATAAGCCATTAGTGCCCTAAATTTTCAGCTTAGAAGTTTTATAAATAATATTTTCTTTTATAAAAATAACTGCTCCATCAGATTCTTTTGCTTTTTTTGGTCGGACCTCTGTGAAGTCCTTTACAAAAGAGAAAATCTTTACCTATCCATATTTTTGATGCAACTATAGCATGACATTTATCATTTAGTGCGGCATTTAGAAATTCTAAATAATTTATGTGTTTGGTTAAACTTTTGATATTTGTGAGTAGTATGTTGAGACTATTATTGTGTTTTGATAACCTTTTGTTTATTTCATTAGTACATTCTAATTGAGTTTTGTCTGAGTTAAATTTCTTAAAGATTATTAATTATAGCCATTTTTTGTTGATATACTTTAGTGAATAATTTAAATTCATTTTAAACTTTTATTTCACTAAGTTCGCTTTTTTAATTCAATATGATTATTAAATAAAAAATACACATTTAATTTTTGAGCTGTGTTAATTTTAGTTTATATTGTAAAAACTATTAAAATAAAAATAAAAATATTTAAAACCATTCACATCATTATTTTGTTTGAAATAGTGTTTGATTTTATTACAATCAGGCTATAAAATATAGGGTAACTGATTTATTGTTAAGAGGACGTAACACTAGTATTTGTTGTCTCCGTCTTACCAATGCGTAATATAGCAAAATTACGCTCGGCAGAACACTTGTAGCTCCTTTAGTTTAAAAATTAGAGTGAATCGACCTATTATGAAACTTGATGGTAAGAACATTATCTGTGTTTTTACGTTGGTTTTTTGCGATAATTCAATTTTTAAGTGAGTTATGACCATTTTTAATTTACCGTATATTATATACATATAACTTGCTAAAAAATTGAATTATCGTAAAAAACCAACGTAGAAATACAGATGATGTTCTTACCATCGAGTTCCAAAATAGGTCAATTCACTCTAATTTTTAAACTAAAGGAGCTACAAGTATTCTGCTGAGCGTAAATTTGCTATATTACGCACTGGTATGACGGAGACAACAAATACCAGTATTACGTCCTCTTAATATCGAGGTAATTATTTTGATTACCAGTATTCAATAACCTCTTTTTACTTAAAAAAAATAAAATCTGTTGTCGCCTTATCGGTTATCAAATTATAGGGTTTTTTCTGGTTATCATAACAATGTAGTAATCAATTTTAATAAAGCAATTAATACTTAATGTAGTGTATATGAATTATTTTGTAAGTAGATAACTTAAAATATATATGATAATTGATACCATAACAATATGAAATGTTGTATTATTTATATTGCTAAAATTTATTTATAATTAAGGTTAGATTGTATAAAATTAATTTGGTGTTTGAGAAGCCGATAAAAAAACATTAAAGGAAAATAATCAAATAGCGCGTTTATATTTAACAAAATCTTTACAAATTTTAAAGTGTTTATTATGAATTTGATGCCATTTGTTGAAATTTCTTTTTCATGTCTGAACATCTGCATCTTAAATTTTCCTTAAAACATCCTCATTTATAATTAGGGTTTGGGGCTTCTTGCACCTTAAATTATTGAAATATGCAGTCAAAATCGTCAAAATAATTACCTACATAATTTTTTATTTTGTTTTTAAAAAACGCATAAGGTATATTGTAAATTATTATTATAAAAATAAAAATTTAAAAATTAGGTAGGTACTTAATATAATAAAAATGTTTTTTACACGGGTTACTCATCTCCATCTGTATCAATCTAGGATTCATTAGGTTGTACCATAATTATACAATTGTCGAAATTGTCGATAAAAAGGTTGATTAAGCGATAAAGAGATTATCATCGTAAACAGACGTACGTGTTAGATACGAAAAACTACGTCCATCCAATTATGTTTTTTCCGACAATTTTACGTTTATAAAAATATAAAAATGTGAAATATGCCCAAATATGTTAAAAATTGCTCTAATATGTGCTTTTCTTAAAATATGACGAAATATGCAAAAATATGCAAATTCAAACTTAGTATTTAATTTTGTCATTTCATAAAACACATTTATAACTCAATTAGAATAGACTACGGCCACTACAAAAAAACATGCAAATGCGAGAAGTCCCGAACCCTATTTATAATACATATATCCTATTTATATCAAAAAGTAAACAATAAAATAAACCTTTACAATAATGCTTCGAAGTTTATTATAAAATAATATATAATTATTTAACTATTTTCATTATTAATTTAGACGGTTTAAGGAAGTACAAAGACTTAAATCAAAAATCACCTAGAGGGATTATAGTATATAGAGATGGTTTAGAATGGAATGAATCATCTAGCGACCCTCGTATATCTGAGATTATATTAATGACGGTTAGTAGTGTTAACCATTTTCTTCCATGCATGTATTATATACGGTATGTATCTTATGTAATTGTAAGCGAGGTTTTTTAGTAATTATGAATGAAAAATATGAGTCTCATATGAACAAAAAAGATAATTTTTTGTTTTTTAACTGACAATTTTTTTATTACAATTTCAACATTTTTTAAATATACCGTGTTTTCTCCACAGCAAAATCAACCATATTATTTTCAAATTGTAACATCTATATTTTATTTAGCCTAACAAGTTCTGGTAGACCTTTTTTCTTTGAACTTTTTGTTAGTCATATTATCAATATTTGCATGTTCAAAAATTTTGAAATTGTAATAAAACAATAAGGAAATGCATCTTTTTTTATTTTTCTAAAACTATTATTGGTCCATAATCATTAAAAACACCTCATGTACAATGAAATAAGGTATGCCCTATATATGGTTGTTATGTGTTCATAAAATCAATATAAAATGTTGTTTTGACAGGAAAAATGTAATGAAATCTTTTATGAAGATATGGTTCCCTTTGCATATATTTTAGTAAGAAAATCTGATGAAAGTAAATTTTTTACTCATCATGATCCATTCAATTATCGAAATCCACTACCTGGAACAATTGTTGATTCTTATATCACTGACCACACCAAGTGAGTAATAAATATGCAATAAATATCCATTTTATTTATATTTATTTGAGAAATGTTATTTATATAATATTTAATGCAATTTTATACATTCATTAGTCACATATCATTTAACTCAATATTACATTAACTATTATAATTTAATGTTATGCTGTTTTGTAATTTTTATATCAAACAAAAACTACAAAGTTGTTACATCACTTAAATAATTATAATTATAATAAACACTTATCTGTCACAGGTTCGAATTCTTCTTGATTTCACATACAGTGAAATCTGGGACAGTACTTCCAACTTACTATCATTTACTGTTTAATTCTATTCCTCATTTAATGGTAGATGACCTACACAAGTTAACTTACTTGTTAACTCATGTGTACTTCAAATGTTCGGTGAATATAAATTAATTTATAATTAACATACAAATCAAATATTTTACCGTCTTAATTTTTTTTCTAGCATACCATACGAGTTCCTGCACCTTGTCAATTGGCATACGACTTAGCATATTTTAGTGCAAATACACTTGAGAGCACTGAAAATATATCGTTACATGGATATCCATTCTTTTTTTAATTATTATGTTTTTCATTAGTATATTTGTATTAAATAATTGTTTAACCTAATTATATTATGTATTAAGTTATTTATATGATCAGTGTTCAGATTATATGTCCATAAGTTTTAGTTCACCTATTTTAAGTACATTTATTTAATGTCCAATGATAATATGTTCACTTTATCAATTTTGCTTAAGCCCCCTGTTATTAGGAATGTCTACTTATTCAAAAATTAAAAACTTTATTTATATATTTATGTATCTCAAAATCCATTAAATTAACATCACACAATTTTGAGTCTTAAAAAATATTAAAAGTAATCATAAAAAAATGTCATTTACATCTTTGTCATAGCATTCTAGTTCTCGGTTGTACATATTTAACCTAAAACATATTAACTAAGTATATATGTCCATCTCTCTATTAGACTATTATTGTTTGTACCTATCAACCATTCTTTGGATGAATTGGAACATTTTAGTGTATCATGTATTACTATTGTCATCTTTCATACCTTTTGAGATAGTTTTATCGCCAGTAGATTTTAACATTTTATTTCCATTTTAACTGTTTGAATGAAAGTGATGTATGTTGTCAGTTAGATTTTTGAATTTTCGATCAGACATAAAATTTTTAGTTTAGAAAATGTGCTAATGTGACATTCCTAGAAATGTTATAAAAGAATTTTAAAAATTGTATTTAAAAAAGTGGATCTTAAATCATAAACATAAAAAAGTTGTATCTTATAAATTAATGAACATGATTGGATTTTACGAATAATGGACATTAAAATAATATAGGACGATGAGAATAAATTTAAGGCTAGTGAACTTATTTTGGAACCATATTATTTTCATTATTTTTTTGTACTTGTGATTTATATTGACAACATTTTAAAGGACTTGCCAAGTTTGATTATAAATCATTTCTCTCAAAATTGTGTACTACAAGTTTCTGTGTTTTTATCACTGCTACCTCAATCTGTTCTCATTGATTTCTTTAATTTGTTTTACTCAAGCGTCCCATACATGATACACTTAATCATACAACAGATTCCCTTGTTTGATACAATTTCACAAATGATAATCTTAGTGTGTATGGTTTTGTTGTACAACTTTGATGTATATATTTAAACGGGTTGGGATGTGACATAAGATAATTTGTATTAAATATCAATAATATTAATTTTATATCGCTTAGGTACTGCAAGTTTGTACGACTAAATCATACAACAACGGGTTATTCTGAAAAATTGAAATGATCTCATAAAATTTATCTCATTCCTTGAATTAAATTAATTTCTAAATGATCTTTGTAGAAATCAATTTTGGTTTTATGATTTTCAACATTCACATCAAATTAAATTTGATACAACTCATTTCATCTCCTGACTCATGAGTCACAATATGACATGAATATAATATGATGTCCCATGGATTCCACAATTAATTAATTAAAAAACTTGGATGAGAAAAAATACTTATATTATCACAGTGTCCTGAAGTTGTCTAATTTGAATTAGTGAATTTTATTATGGTCAAATACTTTAATTAACGATTTTATGATTTTAAAGAAATTGGTTTTAATTAATAATTATTTTGTGAATTGTAATTATGACTGATAGATCAAAAATTACTTTTAAATGTCTAAGCTCTCCTATGTTGATGGCGTACAAAATAATGTAATGGTTGACTTTTTTACTAACAATCCTAAAATTTTACTCACTTAATTTTCAGAAAGCTTTACATATGCTGATAGTGAGAAGCCGTTGGATAATTTGAGCAAATTATTAAATGCTAGTGTTCTTTTTTATTGAATTTAATTGTATCTAAGAAATTAATTAATAACAATAGGTACATTTAAATTTAAAACTATGAATTTACATTTTATAGAATTATAAGGCAATAATATTATGTAGATTCTAGGGCATTAAGAACATTTTTTTAAATATTATTTTAAAATTTTAAAACTGGTTATATACTAAGAACACCATCTTAGGGAAAAAAACTTAAACATCCATTACCCACCTATATTTGATGAAATTTAAACTTAATTTAAATAACTAGATATATACCTAGTTTTATAAGCACTTTGTCCATAAATTATAACATTTAGCCCATCTATAGATTTTTCAAATATGTCTAATGGCATTGAAAAAATGGGAGGAGAAGATGAAGGTTCTTCAAGTTAATCAAAAATAGTAGAACATGAGAGTCAAAATAGCCATCAATTAGTTAGTCGAGAAAATGATGATTAGCAACTTGCCTCTTATCAGCTAAGGAACTTAAACCAAGCTTGTTCATAACTGGATAATAACCACCAGGCCGATGCACAATATTAAAAACAAAAGCTATGTAACTTAAGTAATTTGCGTTGAAACCTATCAATTTGTTCACTTCCTCAAGATGTAAAAGTATTTCAAACATTATTGAATAATATCATACAAATTTTAAAATAAATCAATACAGACGTCTGCAGGTTTAAATCATCTAAATTATACGAATGAGAAGGGGAAGGCACACACTGCCATCTCCCCAAAAACAACTTCTAGGCTTTATACCTACCATCATAGTTCTCAATGATCTATAACACTTTGATCCAAACTTTTTTTTGGTTCTTACTTTTCTTTAAATTGAAATACTTGACTTTTGGTTTGAAGTACTCATGTATGGTCAAATTTTATTGATAATATATTTAACACAGACTTTAATTATTAATCTAATTTGTTTTTTTCTTTAACTTTGGTTGGTATATAGATAACACCTCTGTTTGTCTGTTATTATAATACTACCTATAGTAATGTACTAATGTTGTATATGATGTATAGAATAACACTATAACAGAACAAACTGTGGTTGCAACATAGTATTGTTCATATTAATAATATTATAAACGCATAAATAATAAAATAAATTCTTGATATGCATATCTACTCTATTAGGTATATACCGCTACAAGTTGAATTAGGGTGAGTTAATTCATTGTATAATTAAATTTGTATATATATAATATATATATACTTTTTTTTTTCCGTTTGAACCGACAGCAGAGGAGGATCTGTGTGAACACTACTACTCCTCTGCTGCCATCGTTTATTAATGTTTAATAGGAACGTTAATACATGCACATCTTCACTTTAAAAATAAACATTAGTACAATAGATACAATACAGTGCAATACAATGCGATACAATAAATAATAAAGTTAGTCAGTAATCACGGCCCGCTGTCAAGTGCAACATAGTGTGCTCAGTCAGTTGGAGCGGCTGCCACTGCATTCGCTCTTCGTTCGGCCTCAGCTATCCTTTCATCATGCTCCTTGCAGCTTAAAATATTGTCAACCATGTCATAAAAGGACTGAGTGGCGCGTTGGGAGGCAGACTGCAGCCGGTCGTTCTCGCTGGACGGGACATCAGAGGGGCCGCACAACAAATCCTGAACGTCTCCTGGAGTTATATTTCGGTTACCAACAAACATCTTCACTGGCAGCCGAAGCGGATCCCAGTAAGCACAGTCAAATATCGTGTGTTCCGCAGTGTCCTCCGGGTGTTGGCAGTACAGGCAGGCCGCATCATGGGCGCGCTTCATTCTGTGTAGGTAGTACCTGAAACACCCGTGTCCCGTAAGAGCCTGCGTTACATGAAACGTGAGGTCTTTGGGACACCTTTTCGTCCATCTTATCAGGTATGGAAGAATCGTGCGCGTCCAAGCTCCTCTAACGCCCCGACTCCATCTGTTCGACCAGGCAGCAAGCAGGATGTCTCGCTCTGCTCTCCGGATCTCATCCTTTGAATTAGCTCTGTCCGGGTCATCAAGTTTACTTCGGACTCTTTTGCGTTCCAAAGCAAGAAGATCACCCGGAGGAGTTTCCGCCAGGAATAAGGCTGCCTCAGCCGAGACTGTGCGGTACGCCCTCGTGACTCTGAGAGCCGCATCCTCTGTGCCCGAATCATAAGGTTTCGACAGATAGCGTACTTGCATGCTCTTTCCGCCCACGTTGGACAGGCGTACAGCAGCCTGCTGTTCACCACAGACATTAGCAGCCTTCTCTTAGACTGTGAGGGTCCTCCAAGGTTGGGTATGAGCCGTCCTATAGCCAGCGCTGCCTGGGACGCCTTCCCCGAAACAGTAGTGAAGTGTCCACTGAATGTAAGGTGTGAGTCCAGATGGAGTCCCAGGTATCGCAACTTCCTTAGCAAAGGAACTGTGTGACCCCCTACAACGAACACCGGATCCCGATACGCCCACTTCTTAGTCAGCATGATGGCCTCTGTCTTGTGCCGTGCTAGTTGAAGTCCGTGGGCGCCCATCCAGCTATCAATAACGACTAATGTGGGGTTGACCACTTCCTCCAGGGTGTCTGAGGTCTCTCCGACTGCGAGTAGGGCTAGGTCATCTGCGAAGCCGACAAGCTGAGCACCCTCCGGAACGTCCATCCTGAGAATGTCATCGTAGAATACATTCCACAATGTGGGGCCGAGGACCGATTCCTGGGGGACACCCCCTGTGACCGGTCTGTCAGTGCTGTTCCCATTAGATGTTCTAATGGTAATTGTACGATTCTCCATGTATGACCGTAACATTTTTAGGAGGTATCGTGGGACTCCTCTGCGTCGAAGAGCCCCATCCACGTGCTTCCATGGCGCAGAGTTGAAGGCATTCTGCACGTCTTGTGCCACTAGGACACATAGTTCCTGATTTTTTGAGGGTCCATGATTGGCCCACCTAGCCAGGTCAAGAACCTTATTTATGGCGTCCTCGGTGGAGCAACCTCTTCGGAAGCCAAACTGGTTGATACTGAGTCGACCAGCCCTCTCTAAGTGTTCGTTAAGTCTGAGTAGGAAGATCCTCTCAAATAATTTCCCAGTGGTGTCTAGCATGCAGAGAGGCCGAAAGCTAGATGGGTTAGATACCGGCTTGTCCGGTCCTTTATGAAGAAGTAGGAGTCTGGCCCTTGTGTGCAGTGAGATCAAATATTTTCCAACCGAAGAAAATGTTTTTTTTTATAGGTTTTGATCATATATTTATTTACTTGTATATACTTATAGTTTTGTTCAAGGTATATAAAAATCATATAAAAGCAAGTAAAAAGTTTAAAATAACATTTTAAATTCAAATTTTGTATTCAAAAACTTAAAATATGTCTCAAAACTCCAAAAATGTTCTAAAAAATGATCTTAAAATTTAAAACTCAAACATTTTGAATAAATACTTCTTATT